ATAATTGCAAATGTCTACATCAGAATCCATAATTTTCCTCAAAATATGTAAAATTAACCAATTTTGCAATAAACAAGCACATGATGAGTGTTTTTTTTAATTCCTTTCCACTTTGTTTTCTTTCATTCAGCTATCTTCGAAAAACAACTGGTAGCTGGCAATGATGCACATGTTTCCGCAAGGGTTGCCGCATGTGGATTTTTCGTTTTTTGTAACGTAGCTACGAATTACGAATTACGAAAATTCGGGTTCTAGAATAAGGGGGGAAATCAGATTATTTAATAAGTTAAATAAATTACCCCAATATGGGTATCAATCGAAATGATTTTGAATAAACTTTATTTTTTAATTACATTTAAGAGGGGTTTAGTTAAAGAAGTTAAGGAAGTATTGTGCTTAAAATACTATGCAACAATTACAATATTTTTGAGGTGCTTGAAGAGAGTGGCCACCTGTTTAAAAAGTTAAACTCAAATTACACTGTAGGACAGCCCAAACCAGCCCGGACTTTGTTAACATTTTCTGAAAGTATACCCATCCAGTAGTAAAACACTCGGTGGATTTGCGAAAGTTAGCTCGTATTTTTATTTCATGGCCTACTAAAGTTGTCATATGTCTCGGCCTAAGTAGTTTTCAAAAAAATAGTTAAAATAAATGCCTGAGTGACAGTGATGGCAAATTTAGTCAGAAACAAGAAAGTTGAAGAGTTGATTTTTTTGGAAATAAACATGAAGGTCGATTTTTTCTGGAAAAATTCGATTTTATCCGAATTTTAGCAACACAAAGTTCAATTTCAGAAATTCGCCATTTTGGAGCTAAAATTCGAGTATCGAAGCTTCGAATATCGAATTTACCCATCCCTACTACTAATGCATAAAATCATATGGAACCAGGAGGAGTAACCTGCTGTTGTGTGTTCCGCTAAGGTCACCTGCCAAGCAAGCAGAATTCAAAAAAAAATCTTTATTTAACGTGGAAAAAGGTAATTTTTGGATGAAAATTGAGTAACCACTTAATTAATGGCTTACAATTTTAGCAAAATGGATAATTCAAGCGCAACAATTGCCAACACCAAGAAGCGAGTGCGGAAGCTTCAACACAATTGGACGAGCCAAACTGAACAGCTTATAGTAGCTGTCCAAGGTAATTCTCTAGTGTAGGGTAACAACCCCTAAAAAAGGTCCGGCAAAGTCGGGAGGGGTACCAAGCGACGCGTTTCGGCCCCCCTATTAACAATCTGTAGGGGGAGGGCTAATATTATTAACCATTTAAAAGTTATAAACTAAAAACTTTTGTTAAATTTCGTTGTTTTCTATGAGCAATTACCGCGTCAAAAATGCACTAAATCACCAGTTTCCACTTTTAAAACACTATTAAAACGTCTCCGGTTATTATTTTATGCAAACCAAATCATTTATTCACTTTTATTTTATATATTTCGTTAATAAAACAGAGTAAACAAACTTTGCGCCTGCCAAAATTATTATAACCTCAAATCGCCGGTATTGCCACCTTATTTCACATTTCATTTGCGCTATTATACATACTCAGTTTACACTATACACTTCTTCTTTTTCTTCTTTTTTTACTTTCACCTAAATAAGATATTCTAACCAAAATATAATAGCAAATTTCGCTATACCATGGCAGCGCTACTTTTATGGTTTACAGTTATTTTAGCTGTACGAAGTGCGATTTTTTATAAACAATTTTCATTATTTATCGAAGTATTGATTTTTATGGGAAAAGCGCCGCAGGCGAAAATTTTTAATAAAAAATCGCGCGATTTTTTAACCGAACCCAAAGAAGTTTCACTTCAAAAAGCAATTTATGGGTACCACTTTTATAAAATTTGTACGTTACGGGTATCTTACCTTGCAAAAACTCCTCCGTCTGTCTCACGACCGTACGCTCCAACTTCAGCAAACAAAAATCTATAACCGGCGTCTACCATTGCCATTAATTAGGGCTCCCAGATATCTCTGTTGCTAAACCGGGACACTTAAGGGTGGGAAAGGCCTCTCGCTCCCTTCCCTTTCGTTTCGACAAAAATTACGTACGAAAGGATGTAGTAAAATTTTATTTTGACAAACAAAAAAATATAAAAACATGAGATCATGAGATCATTACAACGTACACCAGCAAAACAAAACAATTTATCACAACTAAAGCACAGAGAATTTTTCACAATGCATGTACCTTTTTTGTTCCTTATAAAAATACAGTTTATACTAAATACATCAGAAAACATAAAAATAAAATTTCTAAACTTTGTTCAAAACTCGGGAAAATGCAATAAATTTGCACACAAATTCGCAACTTTCTATTCAGACTTTTTTATAAAAATTTTGAAAATGAAGTTTTGCAGCCCATAAAAATTTTGTTGATTTTTGGTGTTCTTTTTACTGAGAGTTTCTTCCATACAAACTACTTATGTTCGACATTTTTTTGTATGTGGAAGACACTGTCAGCAAAAAATAAATAATTGCAAAAAATCAACGAAATTTTCTGGTAACTTCAGACTTGCACTTTACTAATTGGCTCAAAAGCTACATTTTCAAAATTTTTTTAAAAGATCTGATTAGAAATTGTGATCTGATGAAAGAGTCTCCGAGCCAATAATTTTGTACGGCACGGTACTTATAAGTAATCTAGGTTTCACGAAAGAAAAAAAATTAAATACAAGGTAACATTAAAATATCAGTTATTTGTTTCGTGCTAAAATTAAAAACGTGCTAAATTAAAAAAAAAATCTCATATGAAAGGGTACCAACCCTACTCGTAATAAATTTAAGTATACAAATTTTAGTATTTAGTATAGAAATATTCAATTCAAATACTCCAATATTAAAATGAAGCGCTTTGCACTTAACCGATGCTTTTTCATAATTAAGTTAAAAAAAATATATTTAAATTCCATGCTGCCTGTAATGGTATTTGAACCCTGACGCTCTGGAAATTAGCAAATTGTGGCAAGCATCTTCGTGCACTCAGCTACAGCCAGACATGTAAATGTGCTCTCAAATGTTCAGTTTGATTCAACACCACGTGTTCGTGGTATGAAAGTATTGTTTTTAAATGCGAACATTTTAAAACGATAATCAAATAAAAAATATTCATGTTTACTATGCGTTATTAACCCCAGTAAATTCATAAAATTTTTCTTAATATTACAACGCGTTGTTTCTCTTAGTGTAGTCATTTTTGTTCAAAATTTGTGCAATCAAATTGAACACCGGGACACTTAAACGAAACCCGGGACATTTTACGGTTGGACCGGGACACCGGGACAAATAGTCTAAAACCGGGACATGTCCGGGAAAACCGGGACGTCTGGCAGCCCTACATTAATACAATACTGTTGTGGCTTTTATAATTGAAGTATTCGGAGCCGCTATTAGGAGATGCTTCAATCATAATATGTTTCCCGTCTAGTGCACCGCAGCAATTCGGGAAGTTCCATCTCTCTTCAAATTTGTTTGCAATGTCTAACCATTCGCCGGGAGAATTTGGCATCTTAACAAAAAAAAATAAATATAACATTTTCTGTTCAGATCGTAAATGCAAACACAAAACTCCACATACTTTTAAGAAAACATCTTTTAGGGTTCGGAAAATCGCCTCGCAGGTTTCGCGTATTATATTGCAAATTGTTGTTTTCCCCAAAAGAAAAACAGACATCAAACTTACAAAACTATCACCAGTCGCTAAGTATCGCATCGTTTACCGCCAATCTTTCTCCAACTGAGACGGATTCCCTTAATCGAGAGTCTTTCTTTCCAATGTGCCGAGTCAAATGATTTGCCAAAAAAATCGAAATCATCCACGTTCATCCGCAAAAAGTTGTGAAACAACAAGGGATCTTGTTCCCGCAGTTTCAAACGAAGTTTGCTATAAAACCCACTGATTTTTCTCAGGGTCAAACCCGGTCGTATCCACCACTTTTTGCGCCTTTTAACTTTTTTTATTCCTCCATGCCTTCAAAGTTATTATTAAACACAATGCCGCACCGGCCACTGCAATTTTCTTTTTAATCATTTTATTTATTTGCTTTCGATCTATTTTATTCAAACTTCAAACTCACAAACGGCTGGCCAGGGTCTTCTTCTTACAAAATATTTTTGCCATGTGTAGTGGAAACGGCATGTCAGACGACTGACTCCAAAAACTGTTGTCAATAGTTTTCAATCGGTATCATGTCAGTTTATGGCATTAATGAAAACACTTTTTGGAAGAATGACATCGCTGGCAGTTATGTAGTCAGCGAATATTCCTTAATGAAAATCAGCCTATACAAAGCGGAAGTTGATTTGTTTTACAAAAATATAGTTAGATATCGTTACCTAAATATAGAAACGCCCTATCTAACATTTGTTCGCATAGTAATTCCTAAATTTAATAAAAAGTAAAGTTCTTTAGTTTTGAATTGATTTGCAGGTACAGTTGCGGCAAAAATAATACCACCACAATTAAAAATAATATTTTTTGCAACTTTTATTTATGTCGTTTCTTTTATAGGTGGAATTATATTTAAAAAAGACATTATTTAAAATAAGTAAATAAATCAAAGTTGCAAAAAATTTTATTTTTAATTGTAGTGCTTTTATTTTTACCGCGACATAAATACATATATATCTAGATAAAAGAACGAAATCTAGTTATGAAGGATATTTCTGTTATATTGTCATGGTAGTTATCCATGGGCCGCTGTGGTATAGTGGTAAGCAGTGCTTTCACTCGTCAACACCTAGGTTCAAGCCCTGGTCAAAGCAACATCGTAAAAAATATAGAAAAAGGTTTTTTCTTAACAGCGGTCGTCCCTCGGCAGGCAATGGCAAACCTCCGAGTGTATTTCTGCCATGAAAAATAGCTTCTCATAAAAATACAATCGCCGTTCGGAGTCGGCGTAAAACTGTAGGTCCCTCCGATTTGTGTGCAACATCAAGGCGCACGCCACAAATCGGAGGAGAGGCTCGGCCAAACACTAACATATGTGTAAGCGCCAATCTAAAAAACAAAAAAAAAATTATCCATGGGGTGTCAAGAAGAACTCCATAAAATTTTCACGTACATTCATTGCATTGTCCGCTGGCCTACCCATTCCATTTTCTCCCAACTCATTTCTCCAGTTACCGCGTACAACGATGCCATCATCGTCAACGTCTAAGCTTCGAATATATAATGGTTTACGTGTTAATAAAAAATTATGCAAAACAAAAATCGTGAGGACAATAGCTTTCGCGCACCCTGGTTTTACGTCCATTGGTCTTCTAAGTATTCTGAATCGCGCTGCACTTATGCCGAACACATTCTCAACTACATTCCTTGCTCGCGATAGTCTGTAGTTGAAAATTTTGTGGGACATAACTTGCTCAGGATAAGAGAAGGGTTTCAGCAAATACGGCTTTAAAGGAAAAGCGGCATCAGCTACTATGACAAATGGCATAGGGTCTCCTTCATGTGGAAGTGGCCTCGGAGCCGGGAAATTAATGGTATTATCAGCAAGAGCTGCTGAAAGAGGTCATCTGAAATGAAATCATTTCAAATCCCAATGTAGAAATGTTAAGGTTATTAAGCAAGATATTGGAGAAATCTTACCGTGCGAAAACTCCTCCATCAGATTCGCGACCATATGCCCCGACTTCTACAAACAAAAATTTGTAGTCCGCATCTTCCATAGCCATTAGGACAATGCTATTAAATTTTTTGTAGTTGAAATACTCCGAACCACAGTTATCAGGTGCTTGAATCGCTATGTGCTTTCCATCTAATGCCCCATAGTAATTAGGGAAATTCCATCGTTGCTCAAAACGGTCAGCAACCATTGTCCATTGTCCAGGAGTACTCGGAACCTTAAGAAAAAATATCAAATGTTCTTATACACATTTCGCATTTCTCATTTTCATTTAATAATTTAAAAACTTACCTTTAGAAATTCGTCTTTCAAAGGCTCGAAAATAGCACCACATGTTTCATGTATTACATGGCAAATTGTCTTTTCCCCATTAGGAAAACAGTCATCAGACTGGAGAAGCTATCGCCTGTTGCTAAGTAACGTAAAGTTACTGCCAATCTTTCGCCTACCGAAATCGCTTCTCGGAATCTTGTGCTTTGTTTGCAAATATATGGGGTAAGGCGCTCCACAAGGAAATGAAAATCTTCCAGAGTCACTCTCAAAAAATGCTTTAACCACTTTGGTTCCTGCAAAACCAGCTTAGAACGCAGTGTAGCATAAAAACCACAGGTCGCTCTCTCCCTCAGACCAGGTCTAATCCACCATTGTTTTGCTTTCTCAGTTGGCTCCTCTTCTTTTTCATGCCCTGAGTGTTGTTACTACACAAAGTGCCGCAGTAGCTATTACAATTTGTTTATTTTTGCGCATTGTATCACGTTGAAATTATTTCCTCACTTTTTGCAACAATTGTTCTCTTATCAGCTGATCGGTTGTCAAAACAGTTTACTTCACATTTGACATCTGTAGCCTTTGACATGCACTGCGATATCGACATTGGGTCCGTTTTTAAGATGTAATGAAAGCGCATTTGACACCAAATGAACAGCTGTCAGATGAAGACAGTTTTTGATGTCAGTGATTTTGACCTACTGAAAACCAGCCTTTACCATTTTATGTGGAGTTCGTCGCCAAACTAATAGTTTTGTGATTAACTACTATATATACAGACAAATTTTGTTTGAATTCTAGATGTTTTTACAATGTAGCTTATGCCTGATGTCGACCAGTCAGGATGGTTATCAAATCGAAAAGGAAAGAAATTTGTAAGTGGCAAAAGTAATAAGTACTATCTCACGGAGCAATGAAATGGAAAATTTGTAATGGTACAGGGTGTGACAGTACCCCCCTCTGGATGGAACTATCGGTATCGTAGAGGAAGGCGGATGTGTCTACCAGTGCGAGTTGTGCTTGTTGGTATGGGTTGCAGTGCCTCTGGCAGCACTTCTTGCGAAACGTTGTGTTGGTTGTCGACGTTGGCAGAAACGTGTCTATCAGTGCTAGTGTTGCTTGTTGGTGTAGGTTGCAGTGTCTCTGGTAGTACATCTTGCGAAACGTTGTGTTCGTTGTCGACGTTGGCAGAAAACGCTGGTTTTAACCGATCTATGCTTATGTTTGTACATCGCCCTCGCACTATGTAGTAACTTGAAACAGTTTTGAGACCGTTTGATGACGAGGTAAGGCCCATCGTACGGATGTGTTAACGAAGTATGTATCGAGTCGTTTCGCACGAATACGTGCGTTGCGGTTTGCAGTGCTGGTGCTAAGAATGTTTGCGGTGTCGAATGATGGGCTGTTTTGGTTGGTCGCAGTTTCTCCATTGCATAACGAAATTGTGCGTTGGCTTCGTTGGTAACTTGTTTCGTTTTGACGTCCTGGAAAAATTCGTCTGGGACGCGTAGTATTGAGCCATACACGAGTAGCGCAAGAGAAGATGTTGGGTTAAAACGCGACTCGCAATCTCAGTAAAATCGCTGGTAAATTATATACCCAATCAGCTGGATTGTGGCACAAAATGGCTGTTTTAAAGCTTCTGTGCCACTTCTCGATGATGCCGTTCGATTGTGGGTGATAGGGTGTTGTTCGCAAATGGTCTATCCCTATAGTGTTGATCAATTCGGCGAATACGGCGGACTCGAATTGCCTACCACGATCAGATGATATTCATGCTGGAATACCAAACCGTGAAATCCAATGTGACAAGAGGGCCTTGGCAGAGAGAAAGAGGACCAACGATGTCTATGTTAATGTGCGAAAACCGTCCTTATGGAGTCTCGTATCTTAACGGCGCTGTCGCAGATGAGTTGACTGTCACTGTTGGGAATCGAAAAAAACTTTAGAATAAGCGAATTTTTGTGCATACCTGGTTCTTTAACGAATTTTTGAAGTTGGGTGAACGCGCTCTGCGCTACAGCAACCTTAGTGTAGTCTAGGGATGGATAGTGGGGGGTTGAAATTCGATTTTTTCCGAATTTCGAACATTGCCCAACCATTCGATTATTCGATTCGAAATTCGGTGGTGCAAATTCGAATTCTTTTGAATTTCGCAAAATTTTTTTGAAGTGAAACTTCTTAGTCGAGTTCGGAGATGTTTGCGTGAAATATTTAACACCAAGTCATAAAATCTGCATCGTTCAATTTAAAAAAATTAGGAGTCGAATTAAAGGCTTGTCCTTTGGGTCTGCAACATAGTTTTAGTTCTATAAAAGGGTTGCCACAGATTAGAAAATCAAATTCAAATAATCGCTTCCGCAGATGTTTGCGTTAAATATTTAACACCAAATCATAAAATCTGTGTCAAATGAAATGTAGATGTGTAACATGGTTTTAGTTTTGTGCCATATGTAAGAAAATCAAAATCAAATTATTTATTAAATAAATTACTCCAATATGGGTATCAATCGAAATGGTTTTGAATAAACTTTATTTTTTAATTACATTTGGGAGGGTTGCCACCTGTTTGAAAAGTCGAATTTATTTAAAGAAGTGTTGTACTTAAAATACTATGCAACAATTAAAATATTTTTGAGGTGCTTGAAGAGAGTGTGCACTTGTTTAAAAAGTTAGTCTAAAATTACACTGTGCGACAGCCAACGTACTTTGTTAATATTTTCTGAATGTCTACCCATCCAGTAGTAAAACGATCGATGGATTTGCCAAAGTTAGATCGTATTTCTATTTTATGGCCTACTAAAGTTTTCATATCTCGGCCTAAGTAGTTTTCAAAAAAGTCGAAAAAATAGTTAAAATAAATGTCTGAGCGAAATTAAAGGTTAAGACATATATATTAAAATTTCCTGGGAAATATTTTCGTAAAACATTTTAACCCATTAGCTCCCTCCTAAACCGGTCATATTTGACCCTTACTTCAAGAAACCTCGCAAAAAGCGAACTTGGCAGATCGTTTATGGATTGATATATTCTAAAAAATTATTCTCCGGAAAATTTTACTAGGGGTCTTCTCAGGCAAAAGCTTCATGCTACTAACGTAAAAGCCTCTAAAAATTTAAAATAAAAAATCAACAAAGAAACTAGTTTTTTTATAAAAAAAAAAATTTAAAATTGAGTTTGGAATAACAGTTCCTTCTTGGCACAGATTTTTTTTTATGTTTTAATGTATTTTTTTCCTTGAATCCCTAAGACAAATGGAGTGCCACACACAGTGATGGCAAATTTAGTCAGAAAGAAAAAAATTGAAGAGTTAATTTTTTGGAAATAAAGATGAAATTCGATTATTTCTGGAAAAACTCGATTTTATCCGAATTTTAACAACACAAAGTTCGATTTCAAAAATTCGCGATTTTGGAGCTAAAATTCGATTAAAATTCGAATATCGAATTTACCCATCCCTAGTGTAGTCTTTAGCTCCGTCGATTGCTACAATCCCTGCAAAAATTGCGACTACTCCATGCATGCATGTCAAGAGTACTCCCTAAGGACCAACGAGTACTCCAAAATTAACCACAATTCATATAAAAAATATGGTCCAATTAACATTGCGATGTCCTACGGCAGGACCATATACTCCATCTCTGCATTACATCAGAGTAGCACAAAACTACTCCAACATATTAACAATGGCATTGTTGTTATATTTTTTCGTTTGTACACGCTTTTGTTCTTCACTTCACAGATGCTTCTTCGCAACTAATAAAAACCAAAAACAAAAATAAAAAATTACATGTTGCCTCTGACGGCATTCGAACCCAAACATGCTTGGAGCAAACAAATAACAGCCAGCATCTCTACACGTTCAGCTACAGCCAGACATGCAAATGTGCTTTCAAATGATCAGCTTCAATCACATTTCGTTAAAACACGAGCAGTGATCGCGTAACAATAAGCTGGTGCAGAGACACGAGTTGGTCCGCTACAGCATGACAGAGGAACACTTTTGTAAGTACTCCAATATACCACAAATAGATTACATGGTCCAACGATTTTTGCAGGGATGCGCGATAACAGGTCGGCTGTTGCGTTTTGGTCGCCGGGTGTGTGACGGATGTCAGTTGAGAATTGGCCGAGGAAATCGAGTTGGCGTACTCGTCGTGGGGAGGCTTTTTCCCGACTTCCGCTGGAAAGCGAATACCAACGGGCGATGGTCGGTGACAATGTAACAAAACGCGACCTTCGATCGTGTACCGGAAATGGCATATGTCTTGATACACAGCAGTCAATTCGCGGTCGTATGTGCTGTATTTGCGTTGAGCACTGGTGAGCTTTTTGGAATAAAATCCGAGCGGCTGAAGTTCGCCATCGATGTTCTGATGTAATGCGGCACCAACTGCGGCATCCGATTCGTCAACGTAGAGGACTAACTCTGCATCGTGCGCTGGGTGTCCAAGCAGTGTTGCATTTACTAATTCAGACTTGCATCAAACAAAAGCGTCTTCTGCATGCCTATTCCAAACCAGTGGAATGCGGTCGTTTTTCTTATTTGCCGTAATAAGTGCTTGGAGGTGAGATTGATAGGAAATTGCGTCTGGTAGAAACTTTCTGTAGAAGTTTACCATTGCGATAAAACTTTTCAACTGCTTAGCTATGGTGGGTTTTGGAAAATCACGAATGACGGCAATTCTCTCTGGTAATGGGTGAACTCCTTGCGCCTTAACCAGGTTTCACTTTTGCCGAATTGGCACTTGGCTGTATTAATGACAAGGTTGCTGTCACGAAGGCGTCGAAAAACAGTTCGAATGTGGTGGCGGTGCTGGTCGGTGGAAGACGAAACGATACAAATATCACAGATATATGGGAAGGCGCAATCGAGACCTCGCAGGATTTCGTTGATGAGCCTTTGGAACGTCTGCGCGACGTTGCAGAGTCCAAACGTCATAAAATTGAATTCGAACAGTCCGAAGGGCATCGTGATAGCTGTTTTAGCAATGTCATCTTCGTGGATCGGGACCTGATGGAAACCCGCTGCAGGTCAATTTTGGAGAAAATGATTTTGCCCCGCAAACTTCTTGAAAAATCGCTTAGGTACTGTAGCGTGCATCTATACAGCACTGTGTGCGCCTTAAGTGCTCTGTAGTCGCCACACGGTCTCCAAGTACCATCGCTTTTCCTGACCAAATGCAGCGGACTCGACCAATTGCTGCTCGAAGGACGACACACACCTACTTTCATTAGAAATTCGAACTCTCTTCGTGGTGCAGCCAGCTTTTCGGCCGGAAGACGTTTTGGTCGGGCAAAGACGGGCTGGCCCGTTGTTATGATTCTGTGAAAGATCGTAGATTTTGTTTTACTCTCTCTGAAAATTCGGCTAATAATTCGGCAAACGGACTTGTCCGATCATATGTTTTTATTTCAGCTAGAGTTCGCATCGTTAATGTTGTCAAAGGAGTGCGTAGTTATGTGGTATTATCGGTGAGTAGATTGCGACGTAAGTCTATCAACAATTCAAAAAAGTGTATGAAATCATCACGAATGATGGGAGTTGTGACATCGGCGATAATAAATGACCACTGGAAATCACGGCGGAGGCCAAGATCGAGATGTATTATATTTTCTCCAATTACTCTGATGCGGGAACCGTTTGCAGCGTATAGCTTTGTTGCTGTTGGTCGGACGTCATATGATTTAGATGTGAGCGGTAAAACGGACACATTGCCCACGGTGTCTACAAGAAATGTTTTATTTATACGTTTGTCGTGAATCTGCAAGCGAAGCACGTTGCGCTCTATGACAGACTTTTCGCTACCATCTATCATACGACCCTGTAGTCAGGTTGAAGTAGTGCTTCACGTGGCCGCTTGAACAGAACGATTACGACAAGGGCTCCGGCATTTTCGGGCATTACGGACATATTTCTGGTGATACCAGCAGTCTTGCGATTCGGCCGATGCACCTTGTGAGCTCACAGCGGCTTGGGGGCTGCCCGATGTTCTGAGCACTGTCGAAAATGAACTTTTCGAATTTTTTACGTAATTCAATTATAGCTGTGCGCAATTCGCATATTTCGTTAGGCTGATCCGCCCTCAAAGGGAAATTCTGACAGCAAGCAGTTGAGGCGTCATTGCTCACTATCGGCAAAATGTGCGATAATTTTCTTCGTAATAAATTCAAACTTCTCGGACAGAGGCAGTGGCGCAATGACGTCACTCAGTTGACCAATTACATTAGGATCAAGTGCTGCTAGCACTGTAGCTGTCTTTTGTTTGTCTGTTGAGATGCCCGATGCCGTGAACCAGAAGTCCATGGTAGTAAACCAGGCCTCTTGTTCGTGATGTGCATCGGTGGAACAGGTAATCTGGCGTACACAACCGCGACGGCGTTTGCGGGTGCTGTAGTAATTTCAGGTGGTGGCGAGCAAACTTTAGTTGGAGGCAAATCATTGTCCACCATTTCTGCGCCGAATGTAGCTAACCTCAAATGTTGTAAAAAAACACGTGTACACCGTGCACGAATGCGGATGTTCTCGAAACGGGGTCACCAATATAGGCACGGAAATCTATTGGTACCTATTTTAATACGTTACCATTTTATGTGGAGCTCGTCGCCAAAATAATAATTTTGTGATTTACTACTATAAATACAAACTTATTTTATTTGAATTCTGTAATCTGTAATTAGAAAAAGAGATTAGTCATACAAAATTATAATTATAAAATTATCCCAGATAAAAACGATAACTTTTTGTTGTCAAACCTTGCGAAGAAGAGGAGGAATGTTAAATGTAAAAGTAAACAAAAATTGACGCTAGAAAGGAAAAAAAGTGGTTTGTAAAGGTATTTTTAATAAAATATTCAGTTAAAATATATTTAAATAGTGACCACGGTGGCACAGAGAAGAAGTTTAACTTTTCCTTGAGTTGTGTGAATAACACGCCCAACCAATTTGACAGCTAACGAGCTTTGATTGAGATTATAGGTGCAATCCCGTATTCCTCGTACTCGGACTAGTAAAACTGTCAAAAAATAAAAATTCGCTCAGAGCGAGAGAGTAACATTGAAAAGTACGGGATCGCTTTCTTGTAAAAAATGGTAACTTCTGTCAACTTCAACATAACCTCCAAATTTTGGTTGTAAATTTTTGCTTATTTTGTGTGTAAACACACTCAGATCACACATGTAAATAACCAAAAATACTTTCAAATTCATTAGAATCCACTTAAACAAGTAATTAAAAACTTTTAAACATGAATTAGCAGAGTGCACTTTTCTTTTGTTTACAATTTGGTTGCCAAACACACTGATCAGCTGATCGTTTGACACATTTACCAGAATTTACCAGCAAAAAATTCTCGGACTAAAACTGGTAACTTCTGACAGAGAGAGAACCGTATTTACTCTATTTTTTGTCCTCTCAATAGTCAGAGAGCCGAGT